CTCGTATCAGCATGTAATTCTTTCTGATTTACTAGTTATGATATAAATTAGAGTTTTACAATTGGCCCAGCAGGACTTAATTTACTGAATTTGTTTATCTGATATGGCCTAGTGGCTGATGTGTTTCCCTGATTTTCTCAACGAGGAATGCAACTGGAACTTTCTAGTAATTGTTGATAAGTTATGTGTTGTTAACTGGAACCTTGTCGTGGAACGGACATTTAGCCATTGATATAGATAATAGATGGAACTATTTAATTTTATACTATTTTGGACTGTAAGTGCTGAACAGCATACACAGTCGAAAGCAGAATTCAAAGACTGAGGAGAAGAGTATTCAGTTGAGTATAAATGTTAATATATCCCTGTACACGGACAGAGGATTGGGCATCAAATTGAAGTTGTGCAAAATTTATTTACACCTGAATGAAAATTTGAGGAAAAAGATGAAAAGAAAAGGGATGTCGGGTTGGTTAGATACACAAAACAAAATTTTTCCAAAGCTTCTTCTGCTCGTTTATGTTCAAAAGGATGGTGCCACTTAGGGAAAACATTAAACGAAAGTAGTGTAGCAATAATTTATCACACATACAAAAAAACTTACTCTGATTACACCCAGATTAAGAATATGCTGATATAAAATAATCAGATTAGACCCCAGTGTTAGCGAAAGCCACAGGACATATTTCATGACAGTTTATCAATGTTTTGGGCTTAGTGAGCTACCTATGTCACACCAGAAATTATGATTTGAATGATTATTTTTTGAACACTTTTTACCTTCTCGATTCTAGTACTTTTACAGAACTCTTGGACGAAATCGCATCATCTTTCTATGTATAATGTATCTCCATTTTTTGACTGAAACTTCTCCAATCTCATGGTTCCACTTTAATTTGAAAAAGCAGAGAGTTAGTGGAATATTTTTAGTACTTATTTTCTTGTAAGAGTTTTACTTATGAGGCAAAGAATGTACGACTATCTGTTTAATTATTCCAACTTCCGAAACACTATATTGGTTAACTATTAGTTCTTGCGAAACTTCTAAATCACTACATCCGAGCAATTCCATTGAATGATAAATTGGATAATTTCACGAATAAATTAAGTAATTAACATGACTGTGTAAATGATGGTAAAGCTCATGGCTTCGCACCAGATTAATACACCGAGCATCTGTTTTGGTTATTCTTTCTTTCTTTCTTTCTTTCTTTCTTTCCTTTTTTTTTTTTTTTTTTTTTTTTTT